GATGTTAATGCTATTTGTAGTTTTATATACATCAATTGCAAATTTACAGAAATAGTGAGGGCATGCCGTCTGGGGGCAGCACACCAGTCCATATGCTGAGCAAAGCCAGGAGTACCCCAGCTGTCACCTCGCCTCTTACAAGAACACTAGAGAAGGCTTTTGTCACAGGCCCAGAGTCGCAGTCCAGCTTAACCTCAGTCGCCCAAGTCACACAGGAGGGAATAAATGACAGCTCTGGAGAAAGACCAGCTGATGTGTCCCAGGAGAGGTGATGAGGAGCAAGACACCTCTTCACCCACTGGTCTTGAGATTGTGTATTAGCTACAGGGTTCGATTACCAATGTGGTTTTTTTTCCACATATTTTTTCCTCAGTGGAGGGAAGATATTCTTTTTTAAGAAGCTTCAGTCAAACAGATATAATAATTATGTAGAGAGAGACTGATTAAAGTTAATGCTATGAGTTTATGATTTAGCTTAAGAATTTATTTCCCAGTGTCAACAAAAGCTTTAATAAGATTAAAACTTTAATAAGATCAATGAGGGTCTTGAACACCTTTGCTTTCTTTGTATTATAAAATGCCTTGATGACCCATATTGTAGAAGAAAAGCTAATAGTGTATTACTATCTTCTATTTATAGTGTATAACATGGGAGATCATTCATTTGTCTGTGATACTAATAAATCTGATGTTATTTGTACCATTTATATGCATTAAAACAATTTGTATATTGGTTATATACCATTATATTTTCAGTTAGTTTTGGTTTCAAAATAAATTTTGGTGTGAATAGTTATAATTTGTTCCATAATTGGTGTGAATCTATGATGTTTACCTCTGTGGAATTGGTTTTCTAATTTAGATCTGATTTGACCTAATTCTTTCATTTTATTTTGAACAAGCACAAAATGCTATTGAACCCACCGCAGCGTGCCATATGAAGAGGAAAGACAGGAGAATATTGAGTGGTATATACATTTTTGTGAGGCTTCTTTGTGAACCTAGTCTGTGAGGAGTAATATGCAGTTTTGCTTTGAGCATTCATTGTGTATACATTTATAGGAGTATTTAAATATCACAGTTATGCACTTGTGCACATGTTCATACATATGCATGTATGTGTGCAACCATTCACATACACATGTTCACATCTATAGATATATGCATGCAAAAGTTCATGTGTAAACATGAATGCATAAGCAGATCTGCACACGTATATGCACCCCGCCTCCCCACTCACAATCACACTCACACTCACACTCGGTCACACTCACTCACACATGCACACAAGCACACGCACACTTAAACACTCACAAGCTCAAAAACACACACACTCACACACTCTCACATGCATACAAACACACACATCAGTACAAAAGAAGAGAATGTTTTACACATAAATGTATTTACTTTTGTAAGGTTGTATATGGTTCTGTGAGATGATGGTTCAGAAAATTTGAATTATTTTTATATTTTGTGGTAATTTGAGGAATTTGGTACAATTATAAATTACAATTTCTATAAGTTTCAACAGAATAAAATCTAATTTAGTAATTGCTTTGATGTTATTTTCATTTTTTCTCTTTGTTATCTGTAAACAATAACAGACACAACAATAACTCTTGTAAATGAGGAAATTAATCATGTCTTTATTTTACTTGCATGTCCTTTATCTTAGGTAAGGAATATTTGCTTTCTCTGTGCATATTTTATGTGCACTTCTTAAGACGTTCATTTTGCAATATCAGTTTTTGTGCTTTTTTTTATATTTCTTTGTTTAATCTGAACATTCAGTGTTCATTTATGTATTAGCACTTTTTTCTTCTCTTTTTGTGAATTTATCTTCCCAATGTTAACTAGAACTTTAGGGCCAGATCTTTAATGAGTTAGGCAATTAATGGTCTCATATAGCTTCAGATTTTCTACATATGCTTTAAAATAGACCATTTTTACATAAGTGGCAGCATTATCTTCATTTTTTTTATCTTTACTTCTGTGACCTCTCTTCTTGCCTGGATCTTTCCTCCTTTCTCCTTCTCCCTCTCTACTTTTTTTCTTATTGTCTCTCTTTGCACCTCTGTCTCCAGAGTATTAATGTGGACAACTAGCCATAAGTATATTTAGATCTGTGTACTTTATAATTGCAATGAAAGAAAAGACTTCTCTTCTCTTGATATCAAGAGATGTATGATTGGTCATTGTCATGCAATTCTGTAGCTTAGTTTGGCATTATCTTCATGTTATTATGCTTTTCTAATATGTTTATAATCTGTACCACTTATTTATTAGATGTATTAGAACCGTATGTTGTATGATAATGGAGGGTATTAGAAATTGGAAGTACCTAATAGAGATACAAATGGTATCCCTGTTGCCTTTTCATGTGCCTTGCGAAACTAAGGTTGTCCCCTGTATGTTTTTTCCAAGCCTTACTTTTGATTCTAAACAGTCCATCCATTTTTATATAGCACAAATGTGTTTGGTTGTATTGGGTACGTCAGTCGTTCGTATTATTCATGGTGTCATTCGTTTCTTCCGAAGTAAAGCTATAGATATTGAGGATTAATGCTGAATATCTTTGAGGGAGATGTATGCAGCAGCTAGATTATATGTTTGTATCTGATATCTGGAAATCTTCATGATAAATAGTAATCTTTTTGTATGTTTTTTTTTTTTTCATAGGGGTCTAGTCAAGACAAATTTTGTATTATTAGGTTTCTTCTTGTGTAGAATGAAGTCCTTTGAATTCAGAGTAGTGATCTGTGCTGAAATATTTGACTTGTTATACTGAAGAATTCTGATGTAATATCCATTTTGTGGGGGTGAAGTATTTTTAATGGATATTTTATGATCTTTTTGTTGCTCAAGACATTATTTCTTCTTAGTTCGGAATTTTTTTGGATCGTTCTTGAAAAATGTTACTTTTACTATTTTATGTTAAGGTTTGTCTGGCAGAGAAATTACTGTCAGTTAATGATGTGGTGCTTTATTTATGAAATTTTGTATGATGGATGAAATTCCTTTAAATGTTTTGATTTTAGATTTACACAAAAGGTTTAGATTATAGGGAACAGAAGAAAATTTGTAAATATGATATTTTTATGATTTCAGGAAAGATACAGATATTTGCTATAATTTCAGACAATATACAGATACAGATATTTATGATTTTAGACAATATACAGATAATGTTTATGTATCATAAATAGATAGTTGCCGGTAACAGGGTAGATATGACAGCTTACTTAATAAAGATACCAAAAATTACAAAGCCAAATTATATGTTTCACAAGTTTTTGCTTTGGTATGCTAGTAGCACGGATAACACAATACTAAAGTGATTATATTAGGATTTTATGAAGCCAGTGATATTGAGACCTCAGATTTTCAGGTTGTAAGAATGAGTGACATTTAGATTTTGGAAATAATACACTTTTCTTTTTGGTTATTAGAGAAGAAATTAAGAATTGAAACTCCGCTCACTCACTGTTACAACTAGGTTATTGGGGGAAAATTAGTAGAAATTAGAAATTAGATTTGAAGATTTATTTTTTCAAACTTTTTTTTTTTTTTTTTCTACTTTTACTATTTTATGTTAAGGTTTGTCTGGCAGAGAAATTACTGTCAGTTAATGATGTGGTGCTTTATTTATGAAATTTTGTATGATGGATGAAATTCCTTTAAATGTTTTGATTTTAGATTTACACAAAAGGTTTAGATTATAGGGAACAGAAGAAAATTTGTAAATATGATATTTTTATGATTTCAGGAAAGATACAGATATTTGCTATAATTTCAGACAATATACAGATACAGATATTTATGATTTTAGACAATATACAGATAATTGTTTATGTATCATAAATAGATAGTTGCCGGTAACAGGGTAGATATGACAGCTTACTTAATAAAGATACCAAAAATTACAAAGCCAAATTATATGTTTCACAAGTTTTTGCTTTGGTATGCTAGTAGCACGGATAACACAATACTAAAGTGATTATATTAGGATTTTATGAAGCCAGTGATATTGAGACCTCAGATTTTCAGGTTGTAAGAATGAGTGACATTTAGATTTTGGAAATAATACACTTTTCTTTTTGGTTATTTGAGAAGAAATTAAGAATTGAAACTCCGCTCACTCACTGTTACAACTGGGTTATTGGGGGAAAATTAGTAGAAATTAGAAATTAGATTTGAAGATTTATTTTTTCAAACTTTTTTTTTTTTTTTTTTTTTTTTTTTCATCTTATCCATAGAATCTCAGGTACAGATGATACAGTTGCCAGTTACTAATGTGTTGTAAGTGTTATCTTATAGGATACATATTATTATCCTAATAGAATCTATATTACAGTTCTTTGTTTGTTGACTATTGTGAATGGCCGAAATTTTGTATATACTGTTATGTATTCCTTGTTTACAGTGGTTGTTAAAGCACAATCAAATTTCTCTGGAATTTAAATGTGCTTCCTTTCTTGATTATGAAACATATCTTGCTATGTTTATGGAAGTTGAAATGTGAGATTATAAGGTTAAAAAAAATAAAAAAAGAAGTTTGGCCCTATGTTTAGGCAGATTCTCAACAGGATTTTCTTGGAATGACAGCAGCTGTTGGTATGACTGTATTGAGTATTGCTTGCAAATGTTTTGTTACTTGTTAATGAATTGTTTGTTAATGGAATAATTATAACATGAAGCTTTATGCATTTTTGTATCTTCAACATCCATGATTATTATAAATAATTGAAACATAATAGCATCTATAAAAAGGTCAGTTGATAATATTTAATATGTAAAATAAGAAAATAAAATAATAAATTTCCAAATGGTGAAAATTATTTTGCAGAAATGCCTTTGAATATTTAGTATTTTGATGCACAATTGTTTATGATACTTCAGGGGAGATATGAGTCAACACAAGTTATTTAATATGAAAAGAAAAGAAAAGGAAAAAGAAAGAAAGAAAAAAAAGGGACTAAATGAAACAAATAAGTGAATGCAAAATCCTCTGACTGATTAGTAATAATAAAAATAGTAAAAGAAAAAAAGCTATTCCATATCTAATAACAGTCAGACAAATAATTTCTACTATGGAAGATGGCCATATCTTTCTTTGACTACATTGATTATAAAGTTTCATTTATATTCATTTAAGCAGTACAAAATAGAGTACTACTGATTTACCTATTATATGTTATTTATTCCATATACTTAAGAATGCAATTTTCAAATTTCCCTCCTACAACTGGCAGTCAATAATAAAACAATTTTTTTTATTCCACTTTATTCACACATTTGTCAAAAAAAAAGTTAAATAGGAACAAAATAGACTAGTTTCCATGACCACTGCTTTTCTGATGTCTGGCCTTGGACTTCACAAAAAAAAAATCTTACAAAAACAAGACTTTTGATCAGTATATTTGTGTATGGTATAAGTGATGGGAAAATTTCATTTATGTTGCTGAATGCAATTTCTATAGGAGGTCTGAAAATTTATCAAAATATGAAACAACCAATAGTGTTCCATGGTATACTGAATACACCAAAAAGGCCATTATTTATTTCAAATAATATTCATAATTCATGTGCAGACTGTTCTTCCTTTGAATGACATCATGTTTTTTTCTCATTTGGGACTTAATCACGAGTTGCCAAGGATATCAAAATGCAAGGTTAATTACCCTGTTAAGGCTGAACATATATTTTTAAAGTATATGTAATAATATAGAAAACATGTCATAAAATACACATATTGTATAATCTTTTGTATCTCTGCTGTTATGAACACATGATTATACCAAGATTACCCAGTTACATTACTGTGAGGCTAATACCAGAGACTAGACAGAAGCAAGTAAAATATGGAATAAAGCTTCATTTTGTAGTAGAATTATTATGAAACTATTGGCATTGCTGATGATCTTCCTTGTTGACGGACACAAATATGTTAATGCCCAAACTGTTAGACAAAACAAATGCACATGACGCACACGCACACGTAGACAGGCAAAATCACTCATAAAGCTATGAATAAAATAAATGGCCATATGTTTCAGTTTTCACATATATCAATTGTATAGTCTAGCTTACAACATCTGGTGAAAATTGCTTCCCAGTTTTCCATAGAAATGACTCGAGCCTACATCCTTAAAGTATCCTAATACAGATATCAAATATATAAAAAGTAATCCTAGTATTTTCATTTACTTACTGAGATATGTAGACCTACAGTATGAGTTAATGGACGTCACATGGTACAACAAATGACAATGGATGCTTCGAATTCTACAACCACTGTCAAATATTTCATGTCCTTTTTGGTGATGTCAAATATATGACAATCTGAACAGCATAAAAAATAATGTAAATATGTATACTTCAAAATCAATCAGATAAAACTAACATAAATATCTATGGTAATAATCAGATAAACATAGCCAACAACTTCAAAACAAGAATAGGATTCACATAAGCTGCCATGTGTGTAATTATGAATTTTATGAGGCCTGACACACACAAGTACTATGTGTTAGATATGTGCTAGTGAAGCCTCAACTATTCTAGTCTAATACTGCCCATCTGTGATAACTAAAAATACAAATCTTAAAAAGTCAACCAATTTCTCTTTCATGCAATGGTGAAAAACAACAGAAAAGTAAACTGAGTATAACTACATATCACAGATATTATATGGTCAAAAACAATATTACATGAGCCACTGGAGCAAACTTTCTGCAAGACTAGGGGAAAAAGCTACAGTGATCAACCAAGCGCTGCATAATGTCCATTCTTGAAATTTCCAATAGCTTCTATATCTGTGGCATCTAATGTTTACCTTTTCACATTGTGCATCTCTTGTAGCACACCTTCTGATTAAGTTTATTTTCATGAAATACATCCAAACAAGTGCTAATTTATCAATACTGAGTCACTATAGAATCCCATAACTATTAGTAGTATGGTGTTCAAGTCATATGTCACATTTCAATGAATGTATCATGGACGCTAAGCAGAACAGGACCACACTACATTCACATACTCCTTTAAAGCAACCTGTCATAGTACACACTTGATTGCCATAGAACACATATAATTCTACTCAATGCTTCTAAGAAAATGAACACCTACTAAAGTCAACTGACACTACACTAACCTCTGCTCTTTGCTAAAAAGACTTAATCAGTCATGTCAGTAAAGACAAGCAACCATCACAAAAATTATTACTATACAGCACTAACCATAAGTTAACAGATACTAAAGACCTATTATTCTGTAATTCCGATAGGTACACCTAAAATAGACTGACTAAGTAATTCTTTTCTCTAAGGATCACACTGCACTTCAAACTCTTACCAAAGTACAACTATTGATTGGTTTGTATTGAATCATACAAGGCAAGTAGCATATAGCGAGGGCTTGTATGTCAGTAGGAGAAACAGTCAGAGCTAGGGTATCAAGTGATCTATGAAGTAGTTACAAGCAAGAGTTGGTAAAGAGCTGATCTTTATAATGGAAACACTGAGCAGAACAAGTTGAACAGTTGTACATTATGCTATTCAAACAAATAAAAAGAAATTCTAAGAATTGAAAAAAGACAAGGTAATCAATAGGAAACTTTCAAGTGATATTAAACTAAGAAACATGTTGGCATTTTCTCATAAGTGGTGGGAAAAA